AGTTTCGTGAAAATCGGTTCAGATTTAAATATAGCTCCCATATATAGTTTTGTCCGATTTTATGTAAATGGTGCACTGAAGTGCCTATTTATCTTTCGATTTGCAAGAAATTCGGCACAGCGTACTGAATTAGATCTAGAATGATGTGTGCAGAGTTTCGTGAAAATCGGTTCAGATTTAGATATAGCTCCCATATATAGTTTCGTCCGATTTTATGTAAGTGGTGCACCGAATCCTCTATATATATATATATTTCAATTTGAACGAAATTTGGCATAGCTTACTCAATTAGGTCTAGAATGATGTGAGCTGAGTTTCATGAAAATCGGTTCAGATTTAGATATAGCTCCTATATATAGCGTTGTCCGATTTTATGTAAATGTTGCACCAAAGTCCCTAGAATGATGTGTGTTTAGTTTCGTGAAAATCGGTTCAGATTTAGATATAGCTCCTATATATAGTTTTGTCCGATCATATGTAAATGGTGCATAACGTCCCTATAAATCTATCGATTTGCACGAAATTTGGCATAGCGTACTGAAGTGAGTCTAGAATGAATGTCTGTTAAGCTTTACGAATCGGTTCAGATTTAGATATATTATATTACGTCAATGTTCTTTCGAAAATGCGGAGTCTGTTAGGAGACATATGTAAAATATACCTAAAGTGGTGAAGGGTATCCGACTATACTACTTTCCTTACTGGTTTTTTTAATATTATTTTTCCAAGGGAAGGTTCAGATTTGGATATAGCTCCCATATATATATATATATATATATATTCGTCCGATATTATGTAAATGTTGCATGAATTAGCCAATATATTCTTCGATTTACACGAAATTTGGCATAGCGTACTGAACTGCGTCTAGGGTGATGCGTGCTAAGTTTCGTGAAAATCGGTTCAGAATTGGATAAAGCTCCCATATATATTTTCGTGCGATTTTATGTAAATGGTGCACCGAAGTCCCTATACTTCCTTCGATTTACAGGAAATTTGACTCTAGTATAATGTGTGCCAAAAATATTTTTTGAAGGTCTGTATAAGATGTGAATTTTTAAAAATAATCCGTGGATTTGGTATAACGTATTTTCATTGGACCCCATACAAAGTCCACGTGACAGTATTATCAAGGTCCCACCCAAAAATTTGCCAACCTGAGTGTCTATAGTTTAGTGATTTCTTTTCTTCTGGCTTAAGAACACGCGTAAGAGTGAATATTTTAAGGGTCCAAGGAACAGAAATAGTAGAGGATTTTCAAAATATTTGTTCTACGACAAACATGGCTTTAAGCGGGGATTTTGAATTAATAATTTTCCAGAACCAACTGATTTACAAGTTTCTGAGGACCAATGCAAAGATCGAACTGATGCGAATATTTTTCCAAGGATTCTACTGAGCGCCGATTTTTAATTAAAATTTTCAATTTATTTGGGGAATATTTTGTAAGGACTATATGTCTAAATGTTTAAGGACCTACCGATTTTTATGAATGACCTATTGATCTGAGCTAAAAAAAAACGTCTTCTTTTATTCATTAGCCTTTTATAGTCGTATTGATTATCTTTCGAAGGTTCCCCCATTTGCAGAAAATGTTTCTACTGGTCCATACATAAATCACCTAACACCTCATTCTATAAAAATGTTTGTTTTTAATATTTCATTCGAATCTTTGTTTTATTTTGAAATTCAAATACATAGGAAAAAATTCCCGCATACACAATTTGTTTACTTTCTCATTAATTGCAACTAATTTTTTCCCTTTAACTGAAACAATTTTCGACATTCCAATAAGATTAGATGAAGAATTCCCAGTAAAATTCATTGTTTTACTGTTTCGGTTTGTTTCAAATCCAGGAGATATACAGATATAACTACTCGTACAACTACAACATTGTAACCAATAGACAAGAAACTGTAATGCTGCGAATGTGGCATGGGTGCCTGATACGTAAATACCATCCCAAAAACAAAAAAAATTAAACACCAACAACAACAAAAAGAATCAGCAGATGCTTTGATAATCACAAAAAATATGAAAATATAAATATAAACATTCATGCATACGTACTATGTACGTACGTACGTTCGTACAAACAAACAAACTGTCAGACAGACAGATAGCAAGCCATCCAGCCAGCCAACAAACCATACACACAGATACACCGATACATACATGCATATCACCAAAGGAATGCGGTTGGTATATTCATTGTAGTCGAAAACAAAATACAAAACACAAAAAATGCAAAACACCGCTCTTCGACTCTCCCCCAACTGAGAAATATAAGCACATACCACTCATACTCATCGAGTGATGAGTGTATGGCGAGCGTCCGTGTGTGTGTTGTGTGCTTTTGTTGCGAGTGGATACAAATTTTGTAACAAAACTGAAAAACAAAAAAAATACAAAATTTATCTTTTTAAACGATAACAACAACAACAGCAGCAGCAACAATACACAAAAATGTATCTTTGTTGTGTATTCCAAAGAAAATACAATTATTTTAAAATCAGTGTTGACAAGTTTTGGATATATAAAAACGTCGTAAATAAAACTCGACAAACTGAAGTGATGGGGAAGATACAAATGATGCAAATTTTTCACAGTTATTACTAAATGCAGGTTTGTATCGGGTTTTCGGGAAATAAAATTATTAGGGTCACTCCTAGTCAGATAAGACGTTCTATAACGCGAAAAGTACAAATAATGGAACCATTTGTATTTGGCAAACAGGTAGAGCTAGAACTCTCAAATTTTGAATGAGGATCACAGATGGAGTGTTGGATAGATGTACCAAATTCGAACTATAAGTATCCGAAAAGTACTAAAATGAACTAAATTTGGTACAATTTCGTAGCATGTGAACGGATAGATCCAAGAACTTAAAATTTGGAATGCGAATCAAGATTGAGAAGTCGGGTCAACATACGAAAAGTACTTAATTTGGTACAATTTAAATTTAGAACAACGAATGGAGGATTCATATTTAAAATACCGTCGGAGTATAGGATTGGATATGTAGGTAGTTTTGGAAATTTGTTCATATGTGTACGAAATGTATAAATGGTACTATATTTGGTACAAATTGGATTTGAGTGAAACAATACAGCTAGAAAACTGAAACTTGGAAATGCTGGTATTTTCGGAAATTCGAACTTGTGTGTACTAAATGGTACTAAATTTGTTACAATTTGGATTTTGATGATCCTATAGAGACGGTATCCTAACATTTGGAATTTAATGTAGAATTAGGGTATGCATGGTGTTTTGGAAATTTGTACTTTTAGGTACTAAATTTGATTTAGGGGAACCGAAAGAGCTGAAATCCTGAAATTTGGAGTTAGGATCACTGTTGGTGTAGGATTGGAATATGTATGATGTTTTTTAAATTTCTACCGATGTGTAATAAATTGTACTAAATTTGGTACATGTTGATATTAGGTAGACCGGTAGAGCTGGAATCCTGAAATTGAGAAATAATATTTATGTCGGTTTGTATGATGTAGGTAGTAATGAAAATTTGTACTTAACGGTACTAAGTTTTATAAAATTGTGATATACGCGATCCGATAGATATCATTTGAAATTAAGTTTACTGTGTATAGGATTGGGCGATGGATTTGAGTTGGAAATAAGATTTATATTGTACTGTTGAGGTGATACTACTATAAGAGAACAAATGTACTCAAATTTTATTTATGGTCGATATTGGTGTGTAGGTTGATTAGGTATTCTGTCATATGCAGATTTCTGTGAACACAACATAATATGTTAAGACATGTTTAACAATTTCCCACATTCGCAAAAAAAAGTGTCCAATGGAAGTAGCAAAAATCTCCATTGAATGGGAATTAAAATTTATTCGGCCGATATTATTCTAATGTGCATTTTAGGCAAATTTCACAAAAATACCAAACGCCCAGAATAAACAAAATAAAAAATTAGAAAAAAATTGCATCTGGCAACGCCGTACTAAGAAATTACTAAATTGTAGCTATATTGTCAGGGTATTATTGCTTTGTGCAGCCCCAGGAGTTTGTAACACCGCGAAATATTGGTCCTAGACCCACCTTTATGTATACCGATCGTCATATCTCAACTAGCTGAGTCGATCTAGACATGTGTGTCCGTCCGTCCATTTGTCCATTATAATTTGTAAACACGATACAGGCCACAGTTATGGACCAATCATCGCGAAATTTTGCATGTAGGATGGGTTCTAGCCAATGAAGACCCCTATTGTTTTTGGTAAAGATCGGTTAATATTTAGGGGATGAAATGGACCAAATACATAATTTTTGTCGGTTTTTCTGGTCGCTCCAGAGGCCGCAATTATGTATGGCCCAAACATCTCGAATTTTTACATGGAGAAGAGGATTTGACCAAGGAATAATCATGCCAGTTTTGATAAAGATCGGTCAATATATAGCGGTTCAAATGGACCCTGAAAACTTAATTTTTTGTGTGTTTTCGAGTCGAATATAATCCGAACATCACAACACAACCCACCGTGAAGGGAATCTGGGCAAATAATTAGAAGGGCTTTACTGAATATTCGAAAATGCAAGGAAAAGGTTCTGTTGACCTCTAATCGGGCAAGGGGATGCAATATCACGAGTAAACATCGGAGTAAACTTCCGCAGAAAGTTAGAATTCCGTGGTAATTGTATAGGGTATCGTATGGTCGGCCCCGTCCGACTATACTGCTCCGCTCACTGGTTTGTAAATAAATTGGTTACGAGAATAATAGACATGTGAGGTTATTGTTTTACAATTAAATACCGAAAACATTTTTAGTACTTGTTTTTAAATCTGTTTATTTGTTTTATTTCAATAAATAAAATAAATTAATTATATTAAAAAATAAAATTAACTACATACACTACAAACTTTTGAACGAGACGGCCGTGTGTTTTTTGTCAAAAAATAAAATATAAAAATTGAATTTTTTTTCATTGAATTTTTGTTCTGAGCAAATTTTCATTGGGATTGGGAAATGAATATTTATCCATTGAGCAAGGACGCTCGCGTTCTTGCAGAGAATATTCCTCCCGATAAAGGTAGCAAAAAAGCGAAATCCAAGACAACTATTGGCAAGCTCTTGCACGATGCTTGTTTTAATGATAATGAATCTGATGATCGAATTGCGGGATATCGCGGTGAAGACATTGTTCAGCCAGACTCATCACATATGGCTTCCAAAAGCAACGATGCAAAACCCACTACCCTTGTAACCAATATTGAAGAATTGCCTTCAATTGACGTCAACAATTTAATGAATGCTAACTCGGAGCAAATTCGTGCAATACCTACTGCAGCAGAAACGGTGTGCAATATGGATCAGGAGGAAAATATCCCGACTGAAGACGAAGATTTTCAACTTGTGCAAAAGAAACGAAAAATTGCAACTATTACCAGAAAACCTAAGGTAGATATGTCCAATTTTGGACTTCATGTTCCAAAAAAATCATCCGAACAGTCGGTGCTGTCAAGCAACAGATTTTCCATATTAGGTGATTTGGATATTAAATCTGACAAAGCATATAATAGGCCTGCTCCTTTGAAAGAAGTAGTAGATAAACCTGATAGGAATAGAAAATCGTTCTGTCCCCCTATTTTTCTTTTTGGCATAGACTTGCATAGTTTGTTAAATGATTTAAAGGCTAGGAACATCGAATTTAGAATTATTAATAAAAGCAGACACAAAAGCAAACTTTATCTACAAGATCCAAATGTTCACACCGAATTAATGAGCCTTCTACGAGAAAAAAAGTTGGACTCGTATTCTTATACTCCAAAAGAGTTGAAACGACAAACCATAGTTCTCCGCGGACTTCTTCATGAAACTCAAATTGATGATATTAAGGCAGACCTAGATATGTTAGTTCCAGATACGGTGCAAGACGTCTCTAAATTTACCACTTCTTACTCTAGAAAAAATGATATTGATACAGGGCTTTATCTTGTAACTCTACTGTCGGGTAAATCGGTATCAGAATTGAAGTCGCTGAGGTATGTATTGAAGCAAAGAGTCTATTGGGAATTGCCGAAAAGAAACTTGGGGGATGTCCAATGCTGGAGATGCCAAAAATGGGGTCATATGTCGCAAAATTGCAATAGAGTATCTGTTTGTGTCAAATGTGGTGAAAACCACGCCAAAGGCGAATGTAAAATCGTTCAAGGTGATGGGAATCTACCCTACTGTATCAACTGTGGGAATCGTGGTCATCCCGCAAGTTTTAGGGGTTGTCCTGAATATAAAAAGTATGTTGAACTGAAGAAGAGAGCTAAAACAGTTGCTTTGGAAAGAAAATCGAAAGTAAATAATAATGTTTTTAATGCTTTATCCTCTATTATACAGCCGGATATTTCTTATTCAGATGCATCCCGTAAGTGTTCCGCTAACCTAACTTCAGGCTCTTCACAGAGACCGAGACTTATTGAAGATTTTTTAAAAATCGCTAAAGAAATTTGTCCCCCTAAGACGATTTCATTAGAAGATAAAATTTTGAATTTCCTAAGAAATTATAAATCAATGTCAAAGGATGAGGCTATACAACAGTGTGTTAGTCTCTTGCACGAAGTTAATATCACTTATGGTCCGTAATATGTTAAATCTCATCACATTTAATGTTAGGTCATTAATTGAATATGGCCGTAAATAAGAATTGTACAAGTTAGTCAACACCCATGATATAGACGTTGCATTCATCCAAGAAACGCACTTGCGACCTGGTGCAAATATTAATTTTGAGGGCTGTCAATTTCTCAGAGACAATACCTCACAAGGGGTAGCTATTTTGCTAAGGAAAAATTACAAGTTCAGTAAAGAGATTATTTCGGGTTTTAGTTTCCCTAGTTTATTTATCTCGATTGATGTTTATATTAATGGCGCCCTTAGAAAAATTTTGCTTGGCTCCATTTACTTACCGGGGAATTCTGATCAATCGCAGATTTCACGTTCTCTGATTTGTTTAGGTCAATATTCCAGGGATTTTGATCTTATCTTTGTTGGCGGCGACTTTAATGCCAGACATGTTTCATGGGGGGATACCATGAATAACATAAATGGGAATAGTTTTTATGATCACCTCCAACAACATCCACATTTCTTTACCAGAATATCTTCTTCTTGTCCTACTTTTCCTAATGGTTCATCATATTTGGATCATTTTCTTATCAGTTCTAATGCTATAGACTTGCCCAATCCTATATATTCTACTTCCTGTTTACCAAGTTTTTCAGATCACTATCCACTCAAGCTTAGCGTTAATCTTCCAAGTGTCGAAATTATTTTAAAGCCACTACCTACTTTTATAAGCTACAAAAATACGAATTGGAATGATTTCAAATATGATGTAGCTCAAGGTATTTTGGACCATTATCCCAATGCTGATAGAAATTTGACTAACGATGAAATCGATCAGTATGTAGATCACTTTACTTCTGTGGTTAATTCGGTCTCTGAATTTCATTCTGAAAAAATTGACTTGAAAAAGACAATTTACAGTATCAGATAGGATAAAACAGCTGTTCAAAATAAAGTATAATTGGCAAAAGGAGCTTAAACGGATTTACCGTATCTCCAATAACAGGCGCAGTCCGGAATATCTGAGATTATCGAAACAGATCCAATTATTAAGTATAATGATAAAGAGACAGGTAGAACTTGAGCAAGTTTCGAATTTCCAAGATAAACTTAAAAATATTAAACCGGGGCCAAAGGCGCATAAGGAAGTTTTTAAGATTATTGGTCATCACAGATCCCGTCCGATAGACAAACTTGCCGTAGATGGTACTGTTATAAGTGATGATTCTGAATGTCTTACGCTTTTAAAATCTTTTCTATAACATTTATAATAACGCTGCTAGCCTCCCTTCTGTAAGTGAAGATTTTGTAAACGGGTATATTGCAAACGTTCCACAGAACTGTCACGTATTTTCCAGTGATTCAGATGCTAGAAATCAAACAGGATGTGTAAATTTAACAAATTTAAATGAAATTCTGGCTGTTGCTAACACTATTAAAAATAAGAAATCTTTCGGAATAGACAAACTTTCTAATTTCACAATTCTTAAGCTTCCAACAAAGGCCTTTGAATTTCTTACCATTATCTTTAATAACTGCATTTCAAACGGCTATTTCCCAGAATCTTGGAAAGTCTCTAAAATTGTTCCCATAAAGAAAAAACACAATAATGATGACATATCTAATTTGAGGCCTATATCCTTGTTATCTAACATTGGTAAACTTTTTGAAATGATTGTACGTATTAAAATGGATGTAGGAGTCACTTTACCGTATATACCTAATTCACAGTTCGGGTTTCAGAAAGGACATTCCACAGTTGATGCAATGACTAAATTCACAAATGATATTGTTCTGAACCTTCGTGAAAAGAAGTGTACCGTTGCAGTTTCCCTAGATGTTGAGAAGGCCTTTGATCATGCCTCCCACTATGGAATATTGACCAAAATGATAAGAATTGGATTCAGCCCTGAGGTTGTTAAATTATTTAAGAGCTTCTTAACAAACAGAAAATTTTGCGTTCTATATAAAAATCAAGTGTCTGAATTGTCACATATAAGCTCTGGCGTCCCGCAGGGATCTGTGCTAGCACCGCATTTGTACAACATCTTAATGTACGATTTCCCTCATACCCAAGAAAACGCTTCGGGTATTCTGTACGCTGACGACTCACTTTTGTACTCACACCACGAGTCACCAGTTTGTGCTACTGACAATATCTCACAATACCTGCATAATGTTAAGCAATTTTATGATGAATGGGGAATCAAAATTAACACTTCCAAGAGCGAAGCAATTTGCATTAGAAATGCATCTGGAAAATGTAAACGTTCTGTAGTTCCCGAGAGTAAGAATTTAAAACTGGCATTAAATGGCATTGAAATTCCCTTTAGAGACAAAATTACGTACTTGGGAGTAAAGTTTAACAAACTATTTAAATTTAATTCACATGCTAGAAAAGCATTAAATAAGGCCCGAGGAATTTTTATTTTATTTTTGAGAATTCTGAACAATAAAGCTTTGATTGCAAGTACAAAATTAATGTTGTACAAGACATGTATAAGGCCTGTTATTTTGTATGCCTTTCCTGTCTGGTTTAACATATCACCAATTGTTGTGAAAGAGCTAGAGGTTTTTGAGAGAAAAATTTTGAGACTTTGCATCGGAAAAAATTTTATATGTGTCAATAAGAGATATTCGAATAATTTTATTTATGAAAATTCAAAATTGCAACGTATGTCTACCTATATCTGTACGATCTTGGATAAGTTCAATGCAAGATTAGAGTTTCATGAAAATGTGCATATGAATGAAGCATGTAATAGTCAAGTGAACATTGGTTGGTATAACACAAATTATCCATCACCTATAGGGTATAAGTACGAGTCCGAAGCGGGTATTACCCAGTTTTACGAAAAGGCACTGACCGGTACGCATCGTGGGTAGTTATTGATTTACCTACTTTTACTTTTTTGTCTGTTCATTGTTTTGTTTTATTTTTGTTTTGTATCATTAGTTTTAAGTTCATAAACCCTGGATAAATTATCCCTTCTTATTGTATTAGTCTCGGGAGCAAGGATGTACGTAACTTTATCTGATGTATACCCACATTTTATGTCTCATTTCATGTAAAAGCTAGGTGCTGTAATGTCTGTCACTGCATTATGATAATTCATTATAGTCATAAGTCCTTCATATTATGTATCTTATTTATATATTAACATTGTTTAAAAAAAAAAGACTCAATAAATATAAACTAAACTAAACTTATTTAATACAATTGTACGTACAGGAAAGAATGAAGTCAAGCTTAAAGCTTGTAGAGTATATTTCCTTTCGGAAAGAACATACCAGTCATCCCGAATAGGCTAGGCAATGAAAAAAAAAAATAAACTAATTGACAAACTATAAAGCCACAGAACAATACATCCAGAAGGGATTAAAGCTATGTCCGCGTTCGGAATTCCTGCAAATTAATACGATTATGTACGATTACTTTAGGGCGGAGGAGGATGCCCTGCACTGCGATCTACATGCAGATGGACTGCGAAGCTGCAGGAACCTACCTCCAGGGGCGCTATCGCAGTTAATGGCAGCTGGTATACTGTTTGTGGATGGAGAGTTGTAGTTTTACCACAGGCGGTACGCAACGATGGATGTGGAGAATATTGTATATAGTAATATACAATAACTGGCTTTATTAGGAACTTAATTTTCCATTACAAAATAAAGCCAGCTTGTATACATGTAAATATTTTTGTAAATAGTACTTTGTAGTCTTTAGATTTAAGTCGATTTAAGTTATTAGTTTTATGTATTCTCGCCCATTCTTTAACATTGGCACAAGTTTAGCTGTTAAAGTCGGAAAAAAACTTTCGAAACCCTTCAATATCGAACGAGGGTTCAACGCGTAAGATGTCCAGTAGACTCGGACAATCTAGAAAACTACAGCATTGAGGTGGTAATTGATTTCATCTACCTCGATACATCATAAATAAAACAAATGATAACAGTTTTGAGATTCGGAGAAGGATAGTATTGGTCAACAGATAAACAATTTAGAAACAATGTCAACTCTCGCCAGATCAAACTCACACTCTACAAAACGCTGATAGTACTTTCGCAAGCAGATGAGGCAGCTCTTGGAGTGTTTGAGAGAAAAAAGTCTACGAAAGATCTACGGGCCGATATGCATCGATGGTGAACATCAGCGTCGAATGGACCACTATCAATGCCATTTATACACGGACATTGACATAGTCAAACTTAAGTCCCATTTTTCAACAATATATAGGCTTTGTAAAAATATTAGGTTGTGCAAAGTCAAAATATTACGTTCAAATTGGATAGTCCTTTCGCATGATATTACAAAATTAATATTCAGCAAAATGTTGAGCATTTTGTGTGGGATGTGTCAGAAATAGTGGGCCGATATTCCTCATCTTTGAACTGCATCATCCAAATTTTACGATGTGCAAAGTTTGGATGAAAGCGGTTACTCTCTTCGAGAGTAATCGTACCCTTACCGCGTGAAAATTTGACACAAAATATGAATTCAAAATACCAAATTGTAGGGAATTCGGTTGAAAATGCGCTCATAAACCTCAAAATTCCGAAATTTTGAGGGTATGGGTAACCCCAAAAAATCGGAACAATATTGATAATTCTTGGAGCGAAGATTTGGCCAATTCTTGTCCAAAATCCTCATGATCCCCATTTGATAATTTTTATTAGAGAGATTTCATAGCAAATGGGAATCCCAAATTCAATCGAAAAATGCGATCAAACCCACAAAATTACATACATTGGATGGTACCGTTACGAACTTCACCTGCCTGCAAGACAATTCGATTCAAAATTTTGACGATCTACTCAATTAGTTTTGAGGCTAGAGTGATTACAACAGACAGTCGGACTTGTGTCGAGGGTATAATAAGGGAAAAATCGCCAAATAGGCATCACAGTTCAAACTGGCAATAAATGATGACTGGTAGGCAAAGTATGCAATGTACACATACTGAGTGAGAGAGGCGGAGAGCGAGAGCACACGAGAGCGAAAATAATTGCCCTCAACAAGATCTTCAGATACAATTTTGTGCCTGATTTTGGTATTTTATAGATAAAAAACACTACGAATGAGTAAAGTATCTGAGAGTGAAGTATCTACAAGAGAGCGAGCGAGAGAATGAGCCAATGGAGGCACATTGGAACAAAATATTTGAGTGTAACGGGCAAATACAATTCATTTAGTAAACGGCTTCACGGCACGGCGTAACGCGTAACGGATGGATGGATTAACGTGAGCACACTGCTGTTTTTTTTTTATTAAAAAGAAAATAAATAAAAAAGAAGAAACACAGAAAAAAATAAAGAAACAACATACATGAAAGAATTTATTGGAATAAAAAGAAGTAAAAAAAATCAAATGAAATGAAAAATAAATTAAATTAAAAAATATATTGAGTGAAGAATTGTTTATATTGAAAAAAAGAAAAATTAATGGAAATAAATATTTGATTTGTGAAGCAATAAAAATTTTGTGATCGAATGTGAAGCTCTAGGGGCTGCGTGTGTTATAAAAGAAAAAATTAAACAATTTTTTTTCTGTCTGTGAATGGAATGGAATGCAGCAAAAGAGATAGCGAGCGCGAACCCCGCCGCCGTTACAATTTAAAGTAAAATAAAATCTATGTGCCAGAAAGAGAGAGACAGAGATTTTTGTTGTTAAAATTACAGCAAAACATATCTCCTCACCACACCACACCGCCGCAACCAGCAGCAGCACCAGCATTGATTAAGATCCCATTGTGCACAGACTCTCCTCATAGATACATACAATCAAAGCAGCAGCAGCAACTTGAAAACTACAAACACCAACACACACATACACACGTGTACTCTCATATATAGGCAAACTAACAAAGTTGTATGCCAGCCAGCTATCGAGCAATAGGAGAGATACAAGTCCGTTTTATAGATCGTCGATGTTGTTGTTGTAGCATGATGAGATCGTTATTTGTTATTGTTGTACAATTCAAGTAAATGTTAAGATACAACAACAATACTTCTCGATGTAATCGTTGGAGTTTTTTGTGTAACAAGAACAACAACAATAGAAAAAAATTAAGAGGAAGCCAAGAATTTTTCGATATCGTTTTGAGAAGAGTGAAAAAGTTCATCTGAATAGAAAATTAGAAAAAAATAATTTTTTGTTTTGAATACTACAAAAAATAAAAGCAAATTCCAAAGAAAAAAGCAACAGAATTTAAAAAAATACACTAAGTGAAACAAAGTGATTAACTAAGAAAAAATATAAAAAATAAGGTCAATATTAATTGAAAAAAAAGAAATAGAAAAATATTTTCAAAAAAATCCATAAAAGAGAGCCTAAAAATTTTTGTGAAAAAAATTTACAATATTGGAAAAATATCCAACCAAAAAGCAAAGTAAAAAAAATATTTATGTCAAGAAATTAGTGCCCAGTGATAATGAGCTCGCTCTAGTGTTGTCCAACCTAAACCGATGAAATATGTCATTAATCTTCATGTGGAGAAATTAATATTTATGACAAAAAATATACATATTTTTTGAAAACAAAAATAACCTCAATACGCATACAAAAGGTGTAGAAGGTGTAGAGGAAACAGAAAAAAATAACAAAAATAAACCAAACACAAAACGAAATTTGAAAAAAATCGGCGCGCACCTTTTTTCAAAACCAGCAACAACAACAAAATCCGAAAAAATAGTTTTTGTGATAACAGCAACAACAACAAAAAATCAAAAATTCAAATAACGTTTTTTCGGACGGTCCAAAAAAAAACGAACAACACAAAAATAAAACCAAACGAAGCAACGGTTTCAAACGCGTTTTCAAACACACAACAAAAAAATTTGGCCAAAAAAATAAACAACAACACCAAATGTGGAGGTTGACAAAAATGCGGTTGTGAAAATTTTCGAATTTGAAACAAGTTTAAACGATTTATTGTTGGCCAGCAGGCCCAAACCAAACAAACAAGCCGATTATCAACAACGTAACTATAATGGGGTTTTAAAGTTCCAATCCTTTAAAGAGCGAAACGAAATACCCCAAAACGAAAATTTTGCAATAATGACAACAAGTGAACATATTCGGGATTGACTAACTGGCACTTTTCGTTTATTTTGGCAAAAGATCACATATTTTGGATTAAGATCTTCAGCTTTGGCGAAGCAGCACACCATCATTATTACTATTACAACACATTTAGTTGGTGTTGTTCTCTTACAAATATTATTTCTTTTACTGTTGACAACGTGCAAAATTTTCAAAATTGAAATTATGCCAACTCTACAGCAACTAGCCAGCAGCAGCACACACCACCAGCAGCAACAACAACACCAACAGTATCAACAATACAATCACAGCCAACCGCAACCACCACATCAAACAACATCGTTGACAAATGTAGCCGCCATTGCATCAACGCAGCAGCACCATGCCAACAATTTATCCTCATCCACAACGCATATTTCTCCACATCCTTACCAGCAACCGCCTCAACATCATCACCCGCATCAGTACCAAACAACGTCACAGCACCAGCACCACCACCACCAACAGCAGCAGCAACATCATTCATCCCAGCAACATTTACATCATGGTGAATTCCCGCTGCCCGATGGTTGGGATATTGCCAAGGATTTCGATGGCAAAATCTATTATATAGATCATAATACGAAAAAGACAACGTGGCTGGATCCGAGAGACCAGTAAGTACCCTCAATATTATTTTATTAAATTTTTAGCATTTTTTAGGAGGGAGAATTTTGTGTATTAAGAAAATAAAAAAATTCAAATCTATAGAAAAAATTCAAAATGAAGTTTATAGAAGGTTTTCAATACGAAAAATTGGGAACTGAGATTCTGCGAATTTTTTCTATAGAAAAAATTATAAACTGACGTTCTGTGATTTTTTTCTATAGAAAAAATGCAAACTAAGGTTCTCCGAATTTTTTCTATAGAAAAAAATGCAAACTAAGGTTCTCCGAATTTTTTCTATAGAAAAAAAACAAACTAAGGTTCTCCGATCTTTTTTATAGAAAAAAAGCAAACTGAGGTTATGTGGCTTTTTTCCTGTAACAAAATTTTTTTATAAAAAAAATCACAAACTGAGGTTTGGTGATTTTTTTCTATAGAAAAATTTAAGACCGTAATAGAAAAACTTAGAGCCAAGGTTCAGTGAAATTATACAAAAAAAATTTGACCCAAGGGTCTGCAATTTTTTTCAAAGGAAAAAACATAGACCCAAGTTTATGAATTTTTTCTATAGAAAAAAAACTTAGACCTTAGTGGCTGACATTTTTTCTGTAGAAAAAGGGTCTGCAATTTTTTTATAGAAAACAACTACGAACAGAAATTATCCGATTTTTGTTTTATCAAAAACTACGACCAGAGGTCTCCGTTTTTTTCTCCATAGAAAAAACTTCAACCTAAGGGTTTCCGATTTGTTTTCTATGCGAAAAAGACTTTGAACTGAGGATATCCGAATTTTTCCCATACATTTAATTTTAAGGGGGGTCTCCGAATTTGTTTTCTATGAAAAAAAAAAAAAACTTCGACCTTATAGAAACAACTTTGGCCTGAGATTTTCCGACTTTTTTCTATGGTAATAAACTTTGAACTGAGGATCTCCGAACATTTTCCCATAAAACAAATTTTCAGAGGGTCTCCGAATTTGTTTTCTATAAACTTCGATTTGAGGATCTCCGAATTTTTCGATAAATTTAAAAAAATAGGATCTGAAGGTCTTCGAATTTGTTTTCTATAGTAAAAATGCGATCTGAAAGCCTCCGAGTTTTTTCTATAGAAAAAATTAGGAACTGAAGGATTGTTTGTTGTTTGAAAAATCTTGGCACGGAGGTTCTGCGAATTTTTATCTATAAAAAAAAACTTAGACCCGCAGGTCTGTGATTTTGTTTCTATAGGAAAAAAATCGATCTGATGGTCTGCGAGTTCTTTTCTATTGCAAACAAATTGAGAACATAAGTTTTCCGATTTTTTCTATAGAAGAAAATTGAGAACTTAGGTTATGCGATTTTCTTCTAAAGGAAGAAAAATTGAGAACTAATGATCTGTGATTTTTTTTAATAGAAACAGGTCGTAGATTTTTCCCATAAAGATCAGTACAAGTACAAAAAAATACAACAGGTGTATTCTATAGAGAATAAATTCAAAAATTTTTCTAATAGTAAAAAATTTCTGAATTGGGTTTTTGGGATTTTTTCTATAGAAAAAAATGAGAACTTAGGTCATGCCATTTTTCTTTTTAAAAAGGAAAAATTGAAAACTAAGCTTCAGCGATTTTTCTATAGAAAAAGAACATCGATTTATCTATAGAACTTAGACCCAGAGCTTAAAACAAAGAAGGAACAGAGAGAGGTTAAAACAAAGAAGGAACCGAGGTTTTGCGATTATTTTCTATAGAAAATAACTGAGAACTTAGGTTCTGCGATTTTTTTTCCTTAAGAAAACATTGTGAACTAAGGTTCTGCAATTTTTTTTCTATAGAAAAAGGTCGTCGATTTTCCTATAAAGAATAATACAATCTACGGGTATTTGTCCGATTTTTTCTGTAAAGAAAAATAGAATCTAAGGGCATCTAAATTGTGTTCTATAGAAAAAGGTAGGACCTAATGTTCTTCGATTATTTTCTATGGAAAATCGAGGATCCATTTAACCTAGATTTTTCTAAAAAAAAGAAAAACCTTAGGAGATCCTCAGTTCCTACTTTTTTTCCTCTTCATATCCCAAGGTCCTATTTTTCTATAAAAAAATTAAAATTTTTCGAGGGTCTATTTAAAATAACTACGATGTGAAGTTTTGCGATTTTTATTGAAAAACCTAAGTCCTCGCAACTTCGTGTTTTTGTCTAAAGAAAAAATGTATAGACCTCAGATACCCCTGTCCATATAAAAGGCATTTTCATTTTTGTATTACAACAGCATATTTCCCAATCTGAAATAATTTTTGCAAAATAAAATTTCACCATTTTTTTTTTTTTTTTTTTTTTTTTGTACAGAAAAGAAATATTGAAATTTCAATTCAAAAAAATAAATTGCATAACATTCAACGGGATGACCCCCTTTGGTACAAATACGGATAACAAATATTTCCCATAAATAAAATTAAGGCCCCTCACTCACTGTTGATGGTGTGAATGTGTGTATTTTACAGTTTTTTTTTGTCGAATTGTTGTTTTTAATAGAAGCGGAAGGCGAAAATCCAAATTACAACCAAAATAATTGTAAACATTTTGTTTACTTTCAAAATGTTGTTGTTGTAGATTGACTTTTCATTTTAGCCAATTCTCCACCACTTCATACATACCACAAGTTTATCTGACTGACTGTCTGTCAGACCGGCCGAAAAAATATTTTGGGCTCAAATAAACCAAGCAATTGTCAGCCAAATATGCCAGCAACACATTCACATGTGGTGCGCTCTTTTTTTTTTTGAGGCAGTCATTCACTCAGTCAGTTAGACTTCTTGTTCGGTCGATCGGCTGACTGGCTGGTATATTTGTTTGTTTGCCTCACTTAAACTTTTCGGTTTACGTTTTCATGTAATTGTAAATATCTCTGAGCAATTGTAAGATTGCGGTCGGTCGTTCGTTCAGTTCAATTTACAGAGATCGATGGTGGGGTGCTGCTATGAGATCGGGGGCAGGGTTCTGATGGCCGCCGTTGTTGTCCCCCATCGCTTGTTGTGTGTGTGTGTGTCTGCCTGTGTATGGTGTTTAGTTTTGCAAGTTGTTCGCGTTTAATTTTAGCTCTATTTTTGTCTTAATCATCACATCGGAATGTTTTCGCTTCAAAAGCTTTTTGTTGTTTTTTTTTTTATTTTTTGCTGCTTCTACTTCACTTCATTTATATTGTGTGTGTGTATGGCGTTTTTTGTTTATTTTTCGCTATGTTGTGTTCATTTTCAAGATTTTGTTTTTTATTATTATTTTATTTTTTCATACAAATACCAGTAGATTTCCGATGCGAGGAGCAAGAGAGTCGGAGAGGTGATAAAGGTGAAGTGAGTGATATGGAATGAAGTATCGCCAGGCAAGTACGTATACGTTAGTACGTACGTCAGTATGTATGTTTGCATGGCTTACACACATTGCCAACAACAGTAACAGCAGCAGTCAGGCGATCTCAAATGATCGTCGTTGCCGTCATTGTCATATTTGTGAAACTAGTCAAAAGAGCGAGAGATACTTCAAGTTTTTTGTTGTTGTATTTTTTTCGCCAGCCATTCCATTCCTATCCAGCCATGCATTGCACATGCATACAACTTTTGCATGAATGCATGCAGATCTAAGTATCTATGAGTTGGCGAGAGTGTGTATGTATGTTGGCTTTGAACATATTTCTGTGCTCAAAAAAAAACGAACACACAAATAAATTGTTGTTGTGTTTAAGTGTTGGTGAGCATTTTTGCCGTCTCTACAAATAGTTAAAAAAAATGTTAACAGATAGACAAATTCCGCAATACACCAAAAATGTGTAGAGTGTTTTGTTGGTGTTGTTGTAGTTGCTTTTTGAATATTTGGTTGTTGACTTGTTAGCTTTGTTGTTGTTGTTTTTGTAGCAAATAATTTTAACTGTCAGCCTATTTGGGCAATTTCAATCAGCGTTCGAAAATAAACATTATGGTACCGTTCCATAGTGTTCTGTACCGTACCAAGGTGGATAGGTACACTAAAATAACGTACTGTACCGGTACACAAACACTAAAAATATTTTTAGCGTTACTGTTCCGGAGCACAACGAAAATCTTAGCGTACCTGTTGCGGTACACTAAAAAATCGTAGTGTACCGACAGCGGTACACTAAAAATCGAAGTGTACCGGCAGTGGTACAGTAAAAATTGTAGTGTACCGACTGCGGTACATTAAAAATCATTGTGTTCCACAGGTCGGAACACTAAAAATGTTAGTGTTCCGCTGGTAGGAACACTAAAAATATTAGTGTTCCACTTGCCGGAACACTAAAAATCGTAGTGTTCCGGCAGTGGTACACGAAAAATCGTAGTGTTCCGGCAGTGGTACACGAAAAATCGTAGTGTTCCACTGGTCGTAACAATAAAAATCGTAGCGTTCCACTTACTTGAACTGTACTGGTAGTGTACCATACACGCATGTTTTTTTTTTCTTTTTTTGTAGGTAAAATGAGATCAAATAATAAAAAATAATACTGAATATAACTTTATTTGCAATTACAAAAGTGAAAATGTCCATCTGAAATAGGTATTTTAGCCAGTTTTTGTGACAAAATTATACAGCTGGGGATAAAATGTTCATTAATTTACACAACGAACATGATTTTTCCCATAATATTGGGAGATCTCCTTGTAAAATGTTAGTACGAAAACATTATTTCTTAAAACAAATATATCTGCATCCATCTATGATTCATACTTTTAGGAAATTTTAGCAAAAATATTCAAAATTTGGTGATTTTCACACAATCAACATAATAATTACCTGCTTATTCATTAAAAGAAGTGTACAAATCACGCGGATATGAAAAACATATTTTTATGATTTTGGGATAAATATTACAAAACCACACACAGGTACCATATCAAAAACGAATTTCATATGCATATCCATTATTGGAATATTCTTCCTTTTTATGATTTTTGCACAGGTAGTCTTATGCAATACATTTTTCCGATCAGCGCAATCGATTATCATCAGAGCATCAGATTGAATTTT